TGTGTCAGTATCTGTATATTAGTATTTCAGAATTCTGTTCTTTAATGCCTTTTGCCAATACTATGACATAAAACTAACGGACCATGCAAAGTCATTAAGTTTGATTCGAGTTAATGAATCCATGACACACTACAAGTAACAGATACTCCTTGTGAAGGTGTCGCACCACAGAACATTTTTCTTTTGTGTCATATTAATGAATTCATCTAATGAAATCTTAAAGTCCCTATTATGAAATTATCAAACAAAAGGCGTGTTAATTCTTAATGGAATTGGTCCATTTGTTAACACTAGAATTAAGAATTAAAGACTTATGTTGATGGTAATGAGCCCATAGGAGACCAATGTATAAGATGTTTCTGCCTCTTTAAATTCTCTCTGCAAAATAAGGCCAGACCAATTACATTTTATTTTTAACATCTTCCTGAAATGCCAAAATGTTTCACTCTACCCAGAAAATATTTTTTTTTTTTTTAGATACTCAGATAATTTTATCCCCGTTTAATTCCCAAAATTTAATAGAAATATTAATTTACTGCGGGATCAGATTAAAATTGTGAAGAAACATCTCAATTGATTTTTGCTTGGGGTAGCCTGACTAGAGACTGTTGTGCATAGAGAGGGGTAAAATATATGCAGGGCGTATTCAAATGAGTATGACCGTAGCTTACAGATAGACTAAGTCAAAATTTCAAATTAAATTTTTCAAACTATATTTAGTACATGTTTGTGTGTATTATCTTAGGATGACAAATTTGAATCTCAGTTTTCCGTTTTGATTGGTACAGTAAAGCCCCACTTACTCAAACTCGTGGGGCCCAGATCGATATAAGTTTGAGGAATACATGGTATTCGAGTAGCCGAGGTTGGTCCTAGATCGTCAAGTATATATCTGTCAAATCTTGAGTGATAATAATTAAACATACGTATGTATTGTAAAACGATACTTATGCTGTTATTATTGTGTCTCTGATACTGGTAAATTGTAGTCTTAGCCCGAGGTATTTTCGAAGTGCCGATGTGATACACAGGTAAAATATCTATCCGGCATGACATGTCACACCTGTTCTACGAATAGATAAGATTAATACTATGACCATAAAGAGTTAGGGACAAATTTTTGTTTGAGGAATACAGGGTATTCGAGGAATAACAGTTAGACTATTTCGCGGTTACTTTACAAAGAATATGTACGAACTTGGTCAGGACCAAAGGAACTGTTCGACGAATGACGGGTATTCGAGTAAACCGAGTTCGAGGAAGTAGGGTTTACTGTATTAGTAAAACATCTCCGATTTGAAATTTACCTTATTGTGACACTTGATGCTAATGAAGTCGGTTTCAAATCTGTTAAGTGGTTTTAATGCCAAAGAATCGTCTTTTGAGGTGATATAAGATATGTTACTCAAAAGTTAACTGTGTAAAAGATTCTGTTATTTATTCATGAACCATTATAATTTATCTACAAGGAACACAACATCTCTCCTTTAGACAACTCTGCATGTTTAGTGTTGAACATATTTCCTAGGTTTGAACTCGCTGACTACACACTGGAGAACATTAAACATGGAAAGACATTTGCATGCTCTAACTCGGTATTGATATTGATTTTATGTGCGTTGACAGCTTTTGTTGTGTGAAAGTCGGTATTCAATAATACAAGGAGACTTTGATGCCCAGTGTTTCCACATAGCCATAGCTTGTCAAGCACTAATTTGAATTTGTGTTAGAAGAAAAAAATGGCCAACAAGGTGAATGTCTGCTTTGTTGTCTTAAACCAGAATGCGCAGTTGATGTTTTGAATAAGGCTATTTTTGGAGTTGTCGAAGACATAACAATTTCTAATGAAGTTTTCGTGATGGCCGCCGGGAGTACGGGTTTCGGTAGAGATGTATTTCAGACTGTGCTTGGTTGTATACACAAGATATATAGGGTCACTCCTACAAATTGCATGTCGACCAGCACCAGTTGGCCCGAGCGGTCAGAGCTCTGCGAAGGAGTGGTCTGGATTTCTACGGCATACTTGCCAACTCTTCCTATTTAGGTGGGAGACTGCCGATTTTGGACCTTAAATTTGGTAGTTTCAGTCGGAGAGTTTTCTAAACTATTCACATATTCTAAGATCTGATGACCTCATCTGGAAGAACAACTCAAAATATGTAATTTAAAAGGGTTATTTTGTCTCCAGGGGGTATGCACATGTTTTATTGATTTTTAAAGTTTGAGCATGCCGAATCTCCCCCATAGAAATTACAAAAAGTTGGCAAGTATGCTGTGGGCAATTGTATAGATGTTTGTATGAACAAGGCCCCTAAACCCTAAATTGTATAGATGCATTTTTCATCCCAAAGAGGCTCTTGATGAACATCATGACAATGTACAATTATTGAATTATTATTGTTTGTCTGAATGTAACTTAAACATGGAGAGCAGCTACAGGGATAATATGAGTAAGTTGCCAGTGTTCTTAAATAAAAATCTCTTGATTTTTTTTTATTTAAAAACAGCATGTCTAAGCAGCATATTGCTTTTCTTTCTGATTGGTGTAGTAATCAATAATGTCAAAATAGAGATTAGGGCAACGTAATGGCACGTTATCTCAAAAGACTTCAACCTTGCCATTTACAATGTTGATAGATAGGTGAAGATCATAAGTTTAGGGTCGGTCGATAATAACTGCAACACAAAACGATTGGATTTTTTTCATCGATTCTAAATTTAGTCTCGTGATGGTTCAATTAAAGATTGGAAAGAGAAACGGTGATGTGTGAAGACAAATTATCAGCGTGTGTGTTGTATCCATGTTGTGTCTTGTCTCCTGCGATCGGTTACAAATGAAGATAAACTGCGTGTACTGTTTTACATGTGGCTTCCTCCGATTAGTCATTAATGTCTCAAAATTGACAAACGAATTTAGGCAAAAGTAAGGAATGGACATGTGAAAAAGATTTGTTTTTGTTTTAAACTCTTGTGTGTACCATATTTGTCATAATTAGCACCCAGGGCATTTAAAAAATTGACTGAATGGGATGCTTAATTTTGTGACAGTTGCTGTAAAGATGACATACTGTAATTGTTAAGCATATTCCCAAATTGTTCTTTTTTTTTCATAAAATACTTGAAAACAGAATGTAGCGTCTGATAGAAAGTGTATATGATGATATATTTTACTCACCGCAGAGGGCTAGAATGGAAAATGTCCGGGAAAGGGGCACTTAATATGTCATTCAATAAGTGCTGAAAAAGGGAAAGGACACTTTATAAGGGAAGGGGAGCTAATTACAATGAATACGGTAATATGTTTGTGTTCTTTGTAGTGACTTCCCAAAGGTATCATTCCAGGAACTTGTTTGTTTTATTTATTTCAAAACATCCATATAAAATTGGTTAGACAGTGAGAATGGTAAACTTCACCATCGGCTTTCCCAGGATTACCAATTTCTGTACAATTACTTGAAAAAACTGTTTAGAAGCATCGATGACACGTGTTGTCCTCAATGGCAGAAGTCAAACCCGCACACTTTCCAGCACACGGGTGTCTGAACGCTGTCAAACTCTGTATTCCTCACAGCTGACTATAGGGCTCATCATATAATGGTACTCGGTATCATGCAGTGTTAAATAAATGTTATCCTTGTGTAAACAAATCTGGGCATCTGTTTTTGACAAAAACAGCAGATACCAGCTTCTCTGCTGTTCATTGCCTGTTTTAGTGTCACATGTTTTATCTTGAAAATTCAAAATAGAATGTTTTCATAAATTTCTTTAAAAATTGACATGAAGATTTCTAAATTTGAAACTTAGATTTCTTCAAATTTAAAATCATGTTACATTTTCAAAATAGGATTATTTTGAACCCCTGTAATTGCAACATCACAGTGCTATGAAAAATCAGTATTTCAGAAAATATGCAAAATAAAAAGTTTGTGAATTACGAGTCTGGCTGTGAATCACAGTGTCCAAAGCTTGGTTAGCTAAGATAATAAATGTTCAAACTGCTTCTTTTTGTGTAGCCTGCAATCTGAGGCGACATAAAGGTATTACTTTTTCGGCGTCGGCGGCGTCCGAAATAAGGTTTCCATGCAATAACTTGAATTCCCTTTGGTTGATTGAACTCAAACTTGGTACACATATTGCAAACCAATATATCTTGGACTAATTCGCATTTGAGAAGTTTATACAAGCATTTTTGGTGGAGTTTCGCTCCTTTTATTGTAGTAAATGCAAGAACTTTTTTTTTCTTTAATCAATTCCTTTCAAATTTTGTATTGTAATGCTAGAAGCAATAACGTTCAACAAATATTATCGGTTTTACTGTCGAGTTTCAACTTTCACGTTTTTGCATATCACACTTAACATAATTTTTTGCTTGTTAACGTGATAACTCAAGCCAAAACACTTTTTTCACTAAAAGCGCTGAGCAGACGACACATCCACTCCTATGGAATTCTCGTTTTTTTCAGAAATTTCTGAAAATTTACAAATATTTATCCTTGTATATGAATTACTGTTGTGGAATCTCATACGTGTGCATGAGGTTTAATTCTGAAATTCACTGCTTTGCATTTTTGAAACTTTTATTGGTAAGCTTGTCAAGCTTTCAATACTGTGCCGAGATATTATGATCAGCACTGTTTCAGAACATTCATATACATTTAGGACAAAAAAATAAATGGTTTTATGCTATTGAATGTCATAGATTGTTGCTGGTTTTCATTTCATTGTGTTGTTATTATTTGGATGATGAATAATGATCGATGGCAGCCATCATCCAATGAATGCACCACAGTGAAATGGTGAGCTTCCTTCGCAATCTCATGAATACATCATCGATTTTGAACCACTATTATACAGACTAAAACCATCATAAAAAAAGCTTTATTTTCACATTCCACAATATGTTGTGTCGATTTCAACATTGTTCGTCACAGTACATTAATTTCCTGTATTCCTCCGGGAAACATGAATCTTTAAACTGTCAATATCTTTTGTTGTTGCAGGTCAATCAAGAAGTGTCATGACCGGCTGATTGCTTGCTGATCAGAGATGACTGGATTATCGTGGCACCTACAACCACACACCTAGTTCTACCGTAAGTTTCTAAACACTTTGTCTCTCCCTTAAATTACGTTTCTAGGTTTTTAGTCTGTTTGTCTCGGTATAGGTTTCAGACGCACTATTCAGGAATTGAATTACATGACCGGCATGAAACGTCTCAAATGACGCATTTTTGTTTACAAAACGGGACCACCAAACAAATAATTGAATACCGTAAAAACAGGCTTCCATTTAATTGGAATTAAATCGTGCTTGAAGTCATCTTCTGCACTTGAATGCCTTTTAATTGTTAAATGACCTGATGACATTTTCGAGTTTTATTTAGAACTTTTAGCTTGTTTTAACCGTTTTGGATTCAGGTTTGAGAAGGAAAATATGTTATCTCTTAAACCTGGTGGTTGAAATTTTTCAGGTTTATCAGAATAATGCCGTACAACAGTGTTGAATAGAGGTTGATAATATTCATATAGGTATGATCACAATTATTTCTGTTAAGTTTATCAATTGACGCTTTTGAATTTGCATGATCTTCTAAGTACTCGTTTGAGGTGTTGGCACTGACATCTAACGATTTTCTGTTAACTCATTTACCCCGAGAAGACTCATTTGAACTCCTCCAATTCAAAGGTTGGAATAGTTCATTATGAAATTTCAGGGGTGAATGAGTTAAACATGACTCTTCCTGACCTCCTTCAGTGTTTGTACTGCCCTTAATTTACTCTTTTTACCATTGGAATTGTTCCTCAAAGATGTCATTTGTTGTAGGAATACATAGGATTCTACTCCTGTCGGTAAATGACTTGACATTCAACATTACATTGATTTATATGTAAATGTTAGAAAAGTCTGGTTTCGATTTTGATATTTTTATCATTTTTTTTTCAACTACATACATAGACATTAATATTTTCGCTGACGTAGAATTTCTGAATAATGAAAAGGAGGTTGTCTTCTGTTTCTTTTCATTGGTTTCACCCCAAGCACCTCTGGTCAATCCGTTGTCAGTACAACGTGTCCTGGTCGAGTATCGTGCTACTGTGTCCAAGTTGTGACATTTCAGCGGGATTGCACTTTAAAGTAGCCATTCAATGGGTTACCTTAACCGTAAACCATACATCTTCATATATACAACTTTAACTGTTGTGAGGCACCAAACCCTGAACAAGAAATAATGGGGTGGAGTGTGTATGTTGATGCATCGGGTGTTTCCTTACACAGGAACAAGCTGTATGTGTTTGTGGAGAAGTAACAGGTTTACCTCCGTAGACAACATACCAACAGTACGCTTTCCACGGGTTACACTATTATAAGGTATATACCTTTACATCTGACCTTTAAGTAAGTCCATAATTCAGAAAAGGTTTGCATTTCTGCACCAAATGATTTGCAGGAATTAAGAGCTGTAACCTTTGTATTGAAATATCTATCTAAAAAGGTCGAAATGTTCCCAATCTTCGCTTTGTCACCTCGATATTACATAACAGGTCTTGAATCCTGTATCGTGTACCTTAGCCTAATTACATTCACTTGTTCCGAATTCAAAAATGATTGGTGCGTCTAGCAAGGAAATTACATTAAATTTCTTCTACTGGTACCAGCATGCCACTATTGAAATGTAGCTCGTGTCCTTTGTAAACAGCGGTTGAGTTTAATTTAATATTCTGAAATTTTAAGAATTGTGATGTCTTCAGCGCATTTCTAGTTTCTGCTGATGTAGGTATATCGGTTAAAGATCACGGACCAGATGTAGGGTCATGTCGGTTGAATGGCAGTAGGGTTTTTACTAGAACCTTAATTAAGTCCATACGAAAAAAACATGTTACATGATCTGGAAAGGATACTTGCTGAATGGAATAGATCGACTTTGGCTGGGAATTTTCAAAAAATACAACTTATATACTTGTACTCGTCATAAACAGAGTGAAAACAAACCTGAACTATTTGAAAACCAGCTAGTCTTGTAGTCAGATATTTACTGAAGTTTAATATCAATATTTTCACATGTGGGTAGTTTATGAAGAAGGTTATGTCCTGTGTATGATAAACATGATTTAATCCACAGGTGAAACATTTTCGGTATACAAACTTAAAACGGCTCAAGTACAGTCGCATTGTTTCCGTTGAATTGACCAATTGAATACGATTTCAATTCAAATTGTTGTTTTATATTTAGGGCAAAGTTTAAGTAGGGTTTTGAGATTTTTTTATAGAAGTTTTTAGTATTTCACAGCAACATGGCAACAGTGTTCACAATTTTATGTCAACACGTACTTCTAGACTCTTAGTAAATATTCAATAAAGGACAGATACTCATTGATCTTACACAAAGTACACAACTTTTCACGTATGTAAATAAAAATAATCTATTCTGCGGAGATTCAATTCTTCCAATTAATTCATGCGTAATGACATAGGATGTTTAAGTAGCGGTACATTGTGTTTCCAGGGAGGTTCAAAATGACATAGATATTTTACGTATAGAGTTGCATTGTGCGATACCAATAGGCAATATAATGATATCAAATGTTTAAATAGTTTAATACATTGTGTTACCTCTAGGCGTCTGAATGATATAGAATGTTTAAACAGTCGGGATTGGATAAGTGGTAAGTAGGGAATTGACACAGACTCTTCTGCTTTGAAGGAAGAAAAGAATGATTTCCGTATTCCTCCGGTGGTAATGAAAAAGTCAGATATGGCCGAAATGATTAAATTAGGATCCTTTTCAGGTCTCTATTCATTCCTTTGAGCCAGAGATAAGGTTCAGGAGAAATCAGTTCTTTTCTATAACATCTGAAACATTTATGACCATTATTTAGAAAATATCTGTACAGGTTATCAGTTCGTGTTTACCCAGCAAATCTTTAACTTTAGCCCGAGAAAGTTTCCCATGTTTGTTTTGCTTTCGGACATTATCAACAATGTGGCGTGGCAATACTGTGGGTAGGGTGGTTAGTGTGACTTAATAGACAGATTGGAGATAATTACCGTTCTCAGAGGGCGTTATCACATACTGTTCTGTCAACTTTTCACCAGAATGTTTATAAACATTATAACAGGGTAATGTGAACTTTATCGTGTAGCACCATATTATGAACTGTTCAGTTAGCTTGACACGTTCGAAACTAAAACGATCGAAACTCTAAAACCTAGATCTTTGAAAATATTTATCTTATTTTCAAATTCTAGACACATGTTCGATGTGTAAGAGGCAAATTTTGTTGTAGTCTTTTTCAAATATTCCTTCAAAATTTCAATGATAATTAAGATATGTTTGTAGGTCAAGCTGACTATACTTTGTACATCCAGGGCGTTTCTCCCGTAAGATGCATTGGCTTACTTACCGGGTTCTGATTTATCCACAGCTTTTTCCCAAAAAAATCATGTATGCTTTAAGATTTATGTTTTTCCTTAACTTTACTTCAGCATATCAATAACTGTTTTATCCATTCAAAATAAAACTTCTTTTTATAAATACATGTATCAGATCTGACTGCCTGAGTGTGCTGTACCATTAGTTTTAAGAACTAAATTCTGTAGCTATAGCTTTGAGGAGACTGAGATAGGATTGCCTCACATACACTTAGTCATAGCACTGGCAACTGAAATATGATTGGGGTAAATTTTGAGGAACAATGGAATAGGATTATTGAACTCGGGATTGTGCTAATGCATAGAGATCACCAAGGATCGAAAGGCACTTTAAGGGTGGGAGGGGGGTGCTTCAGGAACTCATTACTCCTTTGATTGTTGTTAGTTTTACAAAATGAAATAGTTCTCTTTAATTATATAAATATCATATCAGACTCTGCATCTGACAGTGATTAAAAGTGCATTGTTTTTCATCAGAATTCTTTATTGTGTATTGTTATTTACCAATAAACACAATTCTTTGATGGCATGAAACTGTATTTGACAGTACATGATGTACTTTGAGTATTGTACACAACTTTAGTAGTCCACCTATCCGAGTGCAAACTAAATGTTAAAGTTGAGCAAGGTCACGTCTCAATAGTGTCAGACACACTCCACAGTACGATCTTCTGTAATAAGTGGTGGAACTCTCCTATAATGAGCGACGGAAACACATTAAAAATGATTACCAGGTAGGCTTAAGTGATAAAACTAAATAATGAAAAATGGACTCACACATGAAAACCGGAGTTCAAGTAGCAGTAAGCAAACATGAAGGGCCAGATTCTCTCTGTTGAGACCCATTCTAATGAGGTCTACGTCGTTATTGTCACGATGAGTGATATATCATTTTCAAGATTGGAATATCTCAACTACAGGCTAGAGAAGTACAGTTATTGGTTATGATATCAAGTCATCAGCTAAAATCATAAAGAAATAGAAAATATTTTTTTTGAGCATTTTCGAGTGTATGTCTCAGGTCTTCGTAATCCAAATCATACTCGTTAAGTTTTTTTTACGAACTTCAAAATTGCTGTGAAATTATTAAATAATAAATTTTAATGAGCCGTTCACGTTGAGATAACCAGGCTACGACTAATTGGGTCCAGGTATGTCAGCAATAATTGACTGCTGATGAGGTCAGTAAGTACGAGTAACACATGTTAGGTACATTCAAGTACAGATGGCCCGGTTTGTTATGATATTGCCATGCATGATAGCATCACATAATATTGTGGACTAGACTCTCAACTCATTTTTGGTTCTGTCTTTGTGAGGCCAAACAAAATTATCTTTAAGTGAAACATTCAGAAAAATTAAGTTATGTTGGTAGGTAGGTAGGTAGGCATTTATTTTCATTTCATTTCATTTCATTTCATTTCTTGTGTCACAAATTCTGATTTTACAACATTTTGTCTAAAAATGGGTACAAACCGTCTTAAGTTCATTGGTTGTTGACCTCGATTACCAAAATTGTCCACAGACCATAAAGCAATAAAAAAATAAAAAATCTGGGGTCCAACGTGCAGATTAGAGTCTGTATGATAACCCGAAAGAGATAAATTTTCATTATGTTGTTTAAAAAACAAAATTATACACATAAAGAAGGATAGAACAGAA